AATAAAACTGATGTGAAAGGTCCATAATGCCCCTAGATCAGAATATGCAAAAAAAATGCGAAATGAATTCACAAGAGGCTCAAAACATAAACGATAAGGTTTTGCCAGGAAACGACCATGCACGCAAACGTAACTTACCTATTTAGACGCGTTACAATAGTCCATGGCTTAAAAATTTAGCCGATACAAAATCCGACCCCCCAACGGGCAAAAAGGCAAAAATGGACTTGAAATGGAAAACATGGAATCCAAAAATGTAAAATGGAGTCAAATGACCATTTGGCCCTTGGTCACACTTCATACAAGATTAATAAGACCCAATGAAAGAATGAAAATGGAATTCCCACACCCGATGTAACTATGGTGAAGCAATGACTTGCGATTTTTCAAGATTTTCATAATATTTCATGAAGTTAAAAAGTTGTATAGAATACAATACACATGTCATTGGCCTCCGGCCTCATCTCATACATGTCAAATACATTGAAAGGAGTGCACCTATGTACAAATTACATACATGGAATCAAATATATATATTTTGACATATAAGTCTATAAAATGACATTTCATGCTAACATTTGCATGAAATGGAAACTTGAAAGCTACACGACATCCAAGGAATGCTAGGCTTCACGAACCAAGTCTTCGTACCTAAAATATACCCCAGTATCATAGGGGTGAGTAACATAAAGTTACTCGTAGGAGATGAGCATGCATCGACCTAGCATTTTACAAATTTATCACCTTAAGGTGAAACATGTTAAAGGGGCTCATGCCACCTAACGTCTATGTCCAAGTGAGACTCGGGGAGCATCCTAAGCTACCTTAGAGTCTAAGTAACAAGAATCATGATATACGTACGTGTATGAAACGAATCATGGTTGGGATAATCCAAAGAACACGACAAGAAGAATGCTTGAGCATAGATTAACATGAACTGCATTTTTAATACAATTGAACTAGGTCTAGAGTAATCCATATAACATGACAAAAGCATATTTGAATACAAGTTAACAAGAATTACATTATCCATGCAATTCAATAACAAAAGAGCATGTTATACAATACAACAAGGTTTAAGTTCTCAAAGCCGTCAACTTAGAATCTAAAGCACAAAATAACAGTAGTGATTCATGCCACCTAACGTCTATGTTATAAAAGAATCAATAGGATCAATCCTAAGCTTTATTAGAACGTTAAAACACGATTTTCAATATCAATGCAATTTAACCAATATTGGAACTTCCAATACAACGCATAAAACACAATTTCGCAAAGTTAACATCCTGTAACTTAAAATGGAACGACAAATAAGAAATAACAAGTTACAACATCATCTAGTTATCAACTTGAAAATGAAATGCGAAATCAAACAAAGTGGATACTCGGACGTCACGCCGGATCAGACCGACAACATAGTTACTTTAGGGTTACTAGCCCATGGGTAACCTCCCTATGTGCGCATTAGACCATATAGAGGGACTATCCCCCATACTAGAACCATGTCCTAGCCATAGTCAAACAACGACATCCCCAATTTTCCAAAATCAACAAGTTGTGCAACAACGCATATATTAACAGGAATATGCATGATAATCAACTATCTACCAAGCACAACCAAATTTGGAAACCTATACAGTACATGCTCTAAGTCCACAACTAATATGATGTGATGAATGTCGAATCTTTAGTGTGCGATTCGTTACACGCTATGCATAAATGATGTTAAATACAAAATGTGCAAATCATTGCACAAGGCAATAGTATATTCAATAAGGAAAACATATTCTCATGAGTATAAACATAGCAACTATGTTATCCAATGCTCAAAACATAACCAAATGAATATACAACATGTCCATGTCCAGGATTTTGATATAAAAACGACTTTCAAACACAATTAAATCCATGGCTCAATTCGATAGAATTTAATTAAATAAAAATAATTAAATTCCCTAGATTCTAATTCAATTCCAAATAACCTCAAATTAATACATATTAAAGAACATGGCATGGTCATCACCTATATCCGTTCTAAAACTCAATTAGGTTATTGGAATAACAATGTAGAATTTTAATTAAATCATGCTAATTTAATTACCAAGGTTCTAAAACAACTTCTAATAGTCTCAAATTAATATATACTAGTAAACAAGTCATGGCCAATACAAATATCAAGTTAAAACCTTAATTAGGCTAATGGGACCACAAAATAGATTTTAATTAATTCTTTTAATTAAAATCTCTAGATTTTCGAACTTAACCAAATGCTCTCAAATTAACATATCTTAAAGAATATGCCAAGGACTGATGTAATATCACATTACAAGTTTATTTCATTCAATTTAAGACCATGTGACTTAACCTTTCACTAAAGTTAAATATAAATTAAAAGTTGCAATTCTCATGCAAGTAATCCCAATTTAATATATGTGAACAACTATACCTAAGCTTTCAATTCTCATGCAACTATACCCAATTTAATAATTACTAATTTTCAAAACACCTCCAATCACTTTCAAATTCAACTATGTTGGAGAGCATGCTAAGGCCTAATTTAATATGCTAACACATATTGATTTTAAACTAGTTAAGACCATGTGAATTAATCTTTCACCTAAGATAAATATTAAATAAAATCTTTAATACTTATTCAAATGTTCCAATTTTAATACACGACAATGAGCATATCAAGGGGCAATATAAAATCATGCTACACGTTTAAACCAAGTCATGGGCAATCGGGAAAATTAGATCCCGTACAAGAAAAATAAATAATAAAATCTCTAGATTTTATATTTAATCATGCAAACAAGTATTATAAGCATCACAAGCATGCTATATAACAAGAATTTAAATCTAGAACATCTCCTACCTCAATTTGAGATGAAAATCTCAAATGCCATTAAAATGGAACGGCTCCGAATCCGACGAAACTACTAGGTTTTGTCTGGGACAACGCCGTGAACATAAACACCATGAAAGCCCCATCAAAATCATAACTTGACCTCAAAACTAAACTCAAGAAATGGTCAAAACTGAATTCTAATAAGGGGGACAGGTAGAGCACGGCGAAGGGAATAACAAACATTAAGGCCAAAGACTTTCCATCAAGGAAAAGTGAATCAAAAGAGGAGAGAGAAGATGGCAGCACCCCTTGGGCTTCCATGGGAGCTCCAGGTCATGCATGAAGAGGGAAGAAGATGAAAAATGAAATATCTCACACCTCTTTTATAGAAATCTCAAAAAGTGCCCCGAACAGGCCACGCCGGGTCTGAAAAAGTAAAATTTGAGCAGACTCACTCAAATGGCAAAACTTTGTGAACAAAAAAGATTCAAAATGATAAAATATGAATAAAGGAAGAAACAACGTCGAAAACTGAGTCCCGAGCAGAAAGTTATGCCCAAAACAAGTTTGGCGAAAACCGGGGCCAGAAACCCTGAAACTGGAAAACATCGACCAGGAGGAAATTCCAAGAGTACACAACTCGATGAAATGTGAAAATGAATCCAGTATGAGGATCCAAGCTCAAAATAAGACATTTTGCAATAACTTTTATTAATTGCATAATGGCCCATCCAAAAAGTAAAAACTGCACTTATGGCCCAGAATAAAAATATCTTCCAAAAATATTTTCTTAAAAATCCCTGAAATAAAATATCTTCAAAAGATATTTATGAAAAACACCCCAAGAAAAGAAAATAATTTCAAAGAACTTTGCATCCATGCCCCTATGGACACCGGGAGCAACCAAAGTACTTTCTTACAAAAGTAAAGAGACGTATTTCGTGGAAACCACTCAAGATGAAGACACGTGAAGTCAAAAACCAACTCCGAGCATGAGAAGTGAGGTTGTGCCAAAAACTGACAAACAGAGATAAGACAGAATAGGGAAAAGGACGAAATAGCGCATAGTGTCGAAAAACGAAAAATGTGAAAATGACTCGGTTCTCAAAGGAAGTTGTCAATCCATGGAAAAGAGTCTAAGGAACCAATTCTGAGCACTCGAGATGACACTAAGCGACACGAAACAGAGCTAAGAAATTTAAACGAAAAAAAAAATTCATTCGTAAAATTTCAGGAAAAAAGAAAGGAAGGCAAATGACTAGGTCGTTACAAAATTAGTACATTCTACCACGAATAATCTAAAAATATAAACCATATATATAAGTTGCACATCAGAATTTAGTGCCTCCTCAATTTGCAAATTAAGTAAAAGGGCAGCTTGAAGACTAGAGGTGCACAAAAGAACCGGAACCGTGGAACTGGAACCGGAACTGTGGAACTGGAACTGGAACCAAAACCAGAACCGGAACCGGAACCGTGAGAACCGGAACCGTTTTTTGCGATTCTCACTGTTCCGATTTCGGTCCCGGTTCCAAATTTAAGAACCGTAAACATACGGTTCCGGTTCCGGTTCCAGCCCGTGGGAACCGGTGAGAACCGGAACCGTATATATATATATATATTATATTTAATTGTACAAAGTAACTATACTAGGTCTGTAATCCGTATGACCAGGTCGCCTAGCTTTGTCTCCGTATACTCCTCCTTGTCCTCCGCCTACAAGTCAACTCCAGGCCGCGCTGTCAAGATCGCCGCTAAATCGATTGCCTGTTAGAAATTTAACTTTATTTTATTTTAAAATGTCTTTAAAGGTCATGGGTGTTTTTTGTTTTTTTATTTGGTGTTTTATATTTATGTGAGTTTTTTATTGGAGTTAGTGGGGGGCATGAGAGTTACAACTAGTAAATAGTCATGTTAGTGGGTTAGTGGGAGTTTTGCCTACTAAATGATATGTTAGTGGGGTGTTAATTTTCATTTACATTTATGTTTTGAAGCCTATATAAACCCATACATTGTACTCATTTTGAATCAAGTGAAATAAAAAGTGTTCCTCCATTTTTATTCTCTTCCAAATAGTATAGTGTTTTGTGTGTAACTAGGCCACTATTTCTAACAAAGTGGTATCAGAACTAGTTTGTAAGAGAGAGAAGAAATGGCAGACAATTCGGTTCTATTTCAAATGCCTCGATTCACCAAAGATAACTATGAAAATTGGTATATCCGTATGAAGGCAATTTTAGGAGCACAAGATGTGTGGGAAGTTGTTTCCAAAGGTTATGATGAGCCAGAAGATGAGGCAACTTTGTCTCAAGCCGAAAAAGATGTTTTACAAGCCATGAGAAAGAAGGACAAAAAGGCGGTGATGACCATCCATCAATGTTTGGATGATGGAATGCTACAAAGAGTTGCTAGTGCTAAAAATGCAAAGCAACTATGGGAGATTCTTCAAAATTCCTTCCAAGGAGTTGATAAAGTAAAGAAGGTTCGCCTCCAAACGTTACGGGGTGAATTTGAAGCATTGCATATGAAGGAATCTGAATCAATTTCAGATTGTTTTTTGAGAGTCTTGGCTATTGTAAATCAACTAAGAAGATATGGTGAAACCACCATGACTGATACAAGGGTCGTTGAAAAGATTCTTCGGTCATTGGATTCCAAATTCAACTACATTGTTGTAGCCATTGAAGAGTTAAAGGATTTAGATTCCATGACTGTTGATCAACTCATGGGTTCGTTGCAAGCTCATGAAGAAAAGCTGGTGAAGAAACAAGAAGCTTTGGAGCAAGTGTTACAAACAAAGTTTTCGTTGAACGAAAGAGACGAAAAACATAGAGGAAATCAAAGGGGCCAAGGACGTGGAAATGCACGTGGCCGAGGAAGAGGAAGAGGCCGTCGAAGAGGAGAAAGAAGCGGTCAACACACAACCAACAATAAAGAAAAAATCCATGACTCACAACAAATAAGAGGTCGTAGTAGAGGAAATTACTCAAGGTCATATGGAAGGAGGTATGATAAGTCTCAAATTCAATGTTATAATTGTCAAAAGTATGGTCATTATGCTTCGGAATGTAGAAATGTTGCTAACGATGTTGAAAAAAAGGCTAATTATGTTGATGAAGAAGTCGAGCCTACTTTGTTGTTGGCATACAAAGGTGAAAGGAGTGATCAAGAAGATGTGTGATATCTTGACACCGGTGCTAGCAACCATATGTGTGGTAGTAAAGAGAAGTTTGTTGATATTAATGAATCAATAAATGGTAGGTGACATTTGGAGACTTATCACAAATTTTGGTAAGAGGGAAAGGTAAAATATTGATTCATTTGAGGAATGGGCATCATAAATTTATCTCTAATGTTTATTATATGCTTAATATGAAGAACAATATTTTGAATTTGGGACAACTCTTAGAAAAAGGCCACAATATTTTCATGAAGGATTGTAGTCATTCGATAAGAGACCCATTGGGTAATTTGATTGTTAAGGTTCCAATGACAAAGAACCGGATGTTTTTGCTAAATATTCAAGCTGACGAGGCTAAATGTTTGAAGGCTTGTTTTAATGACTTAACTTGGCTTTGGCACTTGAGACTTGGGCACTTGAATTTTGGAGGATTAGAGTTATTGGCCAAAAAGAAGATGGTGAAGGGATTGCCTTTCATTAGCAATCCAAATCAATTATGTGAAGGATGTCTTGTTGGAAAGCAATCGAGGAAAATTTTTCCTAAAGAAGCTACCACAAGAGTTACGGTGCCACTACAACTTATCCATTCGGATGTTTGTGGTCCAATTTCTCCATCATCATTTGGTAAGAATAATTATTTTTTATTATTCATTGATGATTTTAGCCGAAAAACATGGGTATATATTCTTAAACAAAAATTAAAGGTGTATGGAATTTTTAAGAAATTTAAAGCACTTGTTGAAAAACAAAGTGGCTATGATGTCAAGGCTCTTCAATCCGATAGAGATGGTGAATTCACATCAAATAATTTCAAAAAATTTTGTGAAGAAAATGGAATTCACCATTCTTTAACGGTTCTGAGATCGCTCCAACAAAATGGAGTTGCAGAAAGGAAGAACAAGACTATTCTCAATATGGCTCGAAACATGTTAAAAAGTAAGGAACCGCCTAAAGAATTTTGGGCTGAAGCGGTTGATTGTGCGGTGCACTTGTCCAACCGGTGTCCTACTAGAAGTGTGCAAAATAAAACACCACAAGAAACATGGAGCAGAAGAAAGCCAAGTGTCTCTTATTTGCGGGTTTTTGGGAGCATTGCCCATGTGCACGTGCCGGATGAAAGGAGGACCAAGTTAGACAACAAAAGTGAAAAATTGGTGTTCATTGGCTATGATGCAAGTTCCAAAGGTTACAAGTTGTACAATCCAAGTAATGGAAAGATTGTCATTAGTAGAGATGTTGAATTCGAAGAGGGAGCCATATGGGATTGGAACACTCCAAATGAAGATTATAATATTTTTCCAATTTCTGATGAGCAGCAAGAAAATGAAGGCATGGAGCAGCCCATTTCTCCACCAACATCACCTCCACCACCATCAATTCAAGATCAATCAACTCCAACATTATCAATTTCAAGTGACACACCACCACTTCGCATGAGGAATCTTCGTGACATATATGACGAAACAGATGAGGTAACGGAAAGGTTAGGTGATCTAACACTTTTTTGTCTCTTTGCGGATTGTGAACCCGTAGGATTTGAAGAGGCGACACAAGACAAAAAATGGAGAAATGCTATGGATGAAGAAATTAAATCCATAGAGAAGAATAACACATGGGAGTTTACTACATTTTCAAAAGAGCAAAAGGCAATTGGTGTCAAATGGGTGTATAAAGCAAAGAAGAATGCAAATGGTGAAGTTGAAAAATATAAAGCAAGATTGGTCGCCAAGGGGTACAACCAAAAGCCCGGGATTGACTATGATGAGGTATTTGCACCCGTAGCTCGTTTGGAAACAATTAGGTTGTTAATTTCTTTGGCAGCCCAGAACAATTGGAGAATCCACCAAATAGATGTGAAATCGGCTTTCTTGAATGGGTTTCTTGAAGAAGAGGTATATGTTCAACAACCCATGGGCTATGTTGTAAAGGGGCAAGAAAATAGAGTCTTGAAATTAAAGAAGGCTTTATATGGCTTGAAGCAAGTACCAAGGGCGTGGAATAAGCGAATTGACAAATATTTTCAAGACAATAATTTTTCAAAGTGACCATATGAACATGCTCTTTACTCCAAAGTAAGTGAGAATGGAGATGTATTTTTTGTTTACTTGTATGTGGATGATTTAATCTTCACAGGTAGCAATCTAAAAATGTTTGAAGATTTCAAGAAGGTTATGGCTCAAGAGTTCGAGATGACAGATATTGGCATCATGGCTTATTATCTTGGCATTGAGGTCAAGCAAATGAATGATGGAATTTTCATTCACCAAGAAGGCTATACTAAGGAAATTCTCAAGAAATTCAAGATGGAAGATTGTAGATTGGTGAACACGCCCATGGAAGTTGGAATTAAATTCTCAAGAGATGAAGATGGAGATATGGTGGATCCAACATTTTTTAAAAGTCTTGTTGGAAGCTTGAGATACTTAACATGCACAAGGCCGGACATATTATATGCAGTTGGTCTTGTTAGTCGATTTATGGAAAGACCAACCATAACTCATTTCAAGGCGGCTAAGAGGATTCTTCGTTACATCAAAGGTATCCTTGATTTTGGGTTATTCTATTCATTTACTAATGATTTCAAGCTTGTAGGTTATTCTGATAGTGATTGGGCTGGAGATTTGGATGATAGAAAAAGTACTTCTGGCTATTGTTTTTTCATGGGAAATGTTGCTTTTACATGGTATTCAAAGAAACAACCCATTGTCACCCTCTCAACTTGTGAAGCAGAATATGTTGTAGCCACTTCATGTGTTTGTTAAGCAATTTGGTTGAGGAATTTGTTGAAGGAATTACACATGCTACAAGAAGAGTCAACGGAGTTTTTTGTGGACAACAAATCAGCAATTGCTTTGGCCAAGAATCCGGTGTTTCATGAACGAAGCAAGCATATTGATACAAGATTTCATTTCATTAGAGAATGTATAACCAAGAAGGAGGTGGAGCTCAAGTTCATCAAGTCACAAGATCAAGTTGCGGATATTTTCACCAAGCCCCTCAAGTTTGCAGATTTTCACAAGTTAAGGAGTTTGCTTGGAGTTAAAAAAAATCAAGTTTAGGAGGGGGGGGGGGGGTGTTAGAAATTAAACTTTATTTTATTTTAAAATGTCTTTGAAGGTCATGGGTTTTTTTTTTTTTTTTTTATTTTTTTTTTATTTTTATTTGGTGTTTTATATTTGTGTGAGTTTTTTATTGGAGTTAATGGGGGGCATGAGAGTTACAACTAGTAAATGGTCATGTTAGTGGGTTAGTGGGAGTTTTGCCTACTAAATGATATGTTAGTGGGATGTTCATTTTCATTTACATTTATGTTTTGAAGCCTATATAAACCCATGCATTGTACTCATTTTGAATCAAGTGAAATAAAAAGTGTTTTCCTCCATTTTTATTCTCTTCCAAATAGTATAGTGTTGTGTGTGTAACTAGGCCACTAGTTCTAACATTGTCAGAGTTTTTGTCGCTTGTTTCACTCCGCCGGAGGTCAAGACGTCGAAGAATTAGGACGATTCTTTTGAAGCTAAACCTGCCTCTGGTAATTACTGTTCTAGATTTATTTTGAAAAAAAGTAAGAAATTTTGAATTATTGTGCTCAAGTGGTTAATTAGGTGTAAATCAGGTGTTGAATTAGGTTTGGTTGGTAATAGTGTTTGGATCTTATGGTTTGAGTTATGGAAAAATTAGTGATTCCACATTTGTAATACAAGCATTGTTGGGTACCTTTAGCTTGCACAAACCCAAATTCATGAAGGGCATCCCTTTCTGGTTGGACCAATATGGAATCTGAAGACTTTTCTTATGGTCTTTCCAGGTCATGGTGGGACGGGTGTTGCCGCTCTTTGGGGATTTTCTCAACTATTGTTGTTGGTTATCTCTTGGTTATGGCTTTGCTTTTCCAAATTTGTTTTTGAAACTTGTGTTTTATATGTGAACTTTTAGTTGCGAAGTAGATGTTTGTTTGTTTATGGTGTTCGAAAATGAAATTGTCTGAGATTCTGAATTTTGTTTTTTGCCCTAAGCTTTAGACTTAAGTCGTAGCCTCCATCCTCCTCTCATCTAAACCTAAACCCTCGCCTCCTGAGTCCTCTCATCAGCCATCGCCCTTGCCCTTGCCGTATCAAGTCTCATCTCTTTAGATCTTCATCCTCATTAGTCACTCCTCATCCTCTCTTCTTCTCTTCAGATTTTCATTAACAATCGGTTCCATGGAACTGAACCGGTATTCACGGTTCGGTTCCACCCTATACGGTTCCGGTTTCGGTTCCGTTTTTAAGGAACCGTTGTGAAAGGTTCCAGTTCCGGTTCCGACCGGAACCATGAGAACCGGAACCGTGTGCACCCCTATTGAAGACCACATTGTATCCTGGCAATTGTAAGTAAGAGATAACCCAATATACATTTTTGATCCAATGTGAGGGATTGCACTTCCAATTAGTAGAGGCTGATTGACCTGAAACAGGAAATGGTTACTATAAAAAATGAACAGATCTGAAAATCAATACCTCAAGAGTGCTGCTGTGACGGCCCAAGGTTTTTCAACCCTGTGCGTCAGTGATGAACCGAAAGATGACCCGATAACGGATCCGAATTGCGGAAGCAAAAGATAAAACAACATCCCTAGGGACACAACATGTCTCTAGGACACCAAAGAGACCCTCAATGAGATCATAGAACCCAAAGAAAACAAATGTGGAAACAAGACTTCAAAAATGGACAAAAAGGAACCCAAGGGTAAAATGGTTATTTCTATCCTAAAAGTGAGTACTACCAAGCACACCTTTGGAAAGACAATGAAAAATTAATGAATTTAGACTCAAGAATCACTTGATTCGGAGTCCGGACGGCAAAGATATCAAGTTTTGAAGTCGAAGGAAGAAAAGCCCTATCCCGATTCAAGCCAAAAACTGACACCCCTCCACTAAAACTAGAATAACTTGAGCTACCAATTGAATCTAAAACTCTAATTGGTACCATTGGAAAGCTTATTTTGATGTGGTCAATTT